TTAATTATTTGTACTTCCTTACCCATTTTTAAATTTTATACATTTTGAAAAGAAAGATTAATTTCTTCACTCTGAAAAATTCTTTTCTGTAAGAAGATAACCCAATTTTCTTTTCTTTATTTTTAAATTTTTACTTTTAAACCATGTTTGACTTCTTTGACAAAAGAGTTGGACTGGTGAAGTAACCCAGCAGATAAACGCACTTACCATGCAAGCCTGGTGATCTTCGTTTAATTCCCAGAACCCACAGTGGAAGGAGAAAATCAACTCCTCAAAGTTGTCCTCTGGCCTACAGACGAGTGCATGTACACACACACACACACACACACACACACACACACACACACATAAAAGGGAGGGTGAGACAAAAAAAAAAAGAAATGTATTGTTCATAATTCACATAAGCAAATAAGTGGCAGCAAATATAAATAACAAACCTTCCTGATAACATTGCCCGCTAATCTGTCAGGCTGATACAGACTGTCAAAGTGGCGCTGAGTCTTTTGGGAATGCCGCTGCCTGCCTTCAGTCCATTTACCTAGTCTGTTCTGCAGGATGGACTCACAGTGAGCAGCAGACAAGTCACCTACCCTCATACCAGTTCCATGGCAGGGAGCAAGATAATACGACATAATGACTTGCACTCTGAGCAGAGTAAAGCAAGACGGCAGACAGGTCAGCAGTAACTTGAGGGTGTTTGTTCCATACTATCCTGGGTCTCCAGAGCAACCCAAAGTGGGGCTAGCCCAGGTGGATTTGACCTTAACTGCCTTCCTTTTCAACCCTGAGTAGATACATTTACAGAGGAGATGAGCTCGCCTCTAATCGATGTTTCCACAATAAACAGATAAACACTTGAGGAAATGACGTACTCATCAAAATAGCTCATTGAGTGTTCCATTTTTATGTGTTAATTAAAAACAAGAAGTAATTTTAAAGCACATTTTTAAAGACTATGGAAATCACGCTGCCGATCACTGTAAGCATAACATGAAATTTCTCTTCCAACACAGAATCACTTTCATATATTATCATCATTATTATTGGCCAATAAATGATGCTTTAGTGAGTTTATACATATCTGAATTTTTTCATATCTGAATTTTTAAGAAAGCCAATAAAAATCACTGTAATCATCATGATTGTTGTGTATTCATACTCTAAAACCTCCTTAGCCTCCAGGGCTAATATTCACGACAGAAGGTGCCAAGTATTGGTGCTAAGATTTGTGGGTGATGTACAATAGCATGCACTGGTGTTAAGTAAAAATGATTCTGCTCACATCTGCTGGGCCCTTGCAGCCCCAGGCTCCAAAGCCAGTTGTGGTTTACACTGCGCAGGAAAGTGGGTATGGCTTCTAAATGCATGGAGGTGGGAAACACAGAGCACCGTGTCCACTAAGGGGTATACAGACCTGCCCGGGGGCTGTGGATGGATAGAAACACCAGCTGTGCAGTCTGTAACTGTCCTCCCCTATCAAGTCACATCAACAGCAAAGCATCTTATAGGTGAGAAGACACTGCTCCCAGCTCTTTGAACACTTCTCTCTTCCTGCCCCCCACATCACCCCTGTAGCTCATAGGCATCTGGGGACACAGGAAAGGCCCTTCCTAGAAGCCTTCAAGTCACCCTGAGCCTGTGTCTTGGCCACTAATAATGCTGTCATTGCAAAATTAATATTGTATTTCATTCAATTAATGCATGCCTCATTCCTCTTGAGTTTAACACAATTAAAAGAAATGTTGGGTGCCTAGCCCCAGAATATGAATGAGCCTGACTTTCAGTCTGTGACCACCCCAGCCTCCCTGATGCTAAAGTCGAGTGAATACACATCGGCTCTTCTGTTCTTGCACAATGTGAAGGGTGCTGATGATGGGGTGAAGAGGTAGGAAAAAAGACCAGAGCTTCAAAGAGGAAAAGGGTACAAGGCACAGCTGCATGCCCCACACTGGTTCTGACAAACCCAAGGCTGGTGGGACAGTCAAGGCCCACTTTGGCTAAGGCTGTTTCCCCCCATTTCTTCTCATTGAAGCTTACTGCTTTAGAGCTGTTTGGGCCTGAGCATCTGGTATGGGACAAGTTCAAAAGCAAATGGGTTTTCTCCTCAAAGCAAGAAAATTTTTCCCTCTCTACTTTCCACCCACAAAGAAGACATAATTGCACTTAAAGGTGTGCTGCTTAGTTTATTCTGTGATGTTGGCCTCTGTGTTAAACTATTACTTGCTTGTTTCCTTGCCTTGCAGTACCAGGGATTGAACTCAGGGGTCTTGGATTTGCTATGCAATGGCTCTACCACTGAGCTACATCCCCAGACTTTTTTTTTTTAACATTGAGATAGGCTCTCAATAAATTGCCCAGGCTGGCCTTGAACTCACTCTCACCCATGCTGGCCTTGAAACTTCAGTCTTTCTACCTCAGCCTCCCGAGTAGCCTATATTACAGGCATACACCACTGTGCCTGGCTGCTTCTTAAGTAAATAGAGATCCATGGCAAAATGTAGCTTTAAACTTTCTGTCTCCTTAAAAGATAAACTATAGAACTCAACTTCCAAAAAGTCCACACCAAAGTCTCATTTGATTCTAGATGAGCTTCCTCCAGAGAAAATGTTAATTCTTAAGTGAGTGTTTGTTGGCAAAAAGGGTGACCTGACAGGTTAATGGTAGAGGATGGCCAGTCTAGGGCACGTTACTATTTATTCTCCTGAATTTGTTATTTCTATTGGTGAAGAAAATCAACTAAAAGAAGTAGTGACATCAGGTAAATATCCAGGATCATGCCAATCCCAAGGACAGATGCGGACACAGTGGCCGCACTCGCTCTCAGAGGCCTTGCTTTCTGATGAAACACTCCAGCCACTGCAATAAGTGAAAAATGTTCTGGGAGAAATTGTATCCCAAGCTCCTGGGGTGGTCCATAAGCCATGAGGAGGAAAGACAGAACTTCCAGTCTCCTGAGGTCACAAGAGAGTAGGCTTTAAGAAAGCAAGCAATTTCCTACCAATTCCTCATGCCTTGGAAGAACCTGAGGGACCTTTATCTAATTTGTATACCTCTGTAAGTCAAATTCACTGCTGGGAGGTACACGTGGCATCTGATCCCCTTCTCCCACAGTCCTTGAGACAACCTGAAAAAAGAATTCTCCAAACCCTGGAGAAGAATCTTAATGAGTTTACTAGACTTACTATCCGAGTTTGGGGTGCGGGTTTACTTACAGACCAGCAGGTGCCCCCCCCCATTCACGCTGTGTTCAAAAGTCTGCACCCAGACATAAATCCTGTGGTTCCAGACAGCCTCACAAAATGGCGAGAGACCAGCCTCATGGTTTTACCAGCTTTTATACCCTTAGCCCCTCCCCTGCAAGCTGCTATGGTCAACCGATTAACTGGAAGAGGGAAGAGGAGTGACTTCTTTGCAGAGCGTTGGAAGAAGGCGGGTCCATGGCTTGTCATCACACAGTCAGAGGAACATCCAGGTCACAACCACATTAGAGAATGGTGGTTGAGAAATACTGTGCTTGGATAATGATGTTCTTTGACCACATTATCTTTCCCCATGGCTTTATAGGGACTAAGAATGGAGTGTCAGAATCCGGATTTTTATCTGGATATTGCCTAGCCCCTTCATTTCCTAATCCTTGTTCAATTTCTGTTGCTGTAATAAATTACCTGAGGCTGAGTAGTGCATAAAGAGGTTTATTTAGCTCATACCTTTGAAGGGTAAAAGGTCAAGATCAGGGGAATCAATTGGTTCAGTATTCAGTGAAGACAACATGGCAGAAAGGCTTGCAATGGTGGTTATCTGGTGACACAGGAAGCCAGAGAGTGAGGAAGGTCCAGTCTTGCTCTTTTTTTTTTTCAAACAACTCATTCTCATGGGAATCATCCAGGGTCCCATATGAACCACATTAATCCCTTCAAAGGGCAATGACCGCACAATGACCTAATTACCTCACTTCTCATATTACCACTAGGTACCAGCTCCCAGCACATGAATCTTGAGGGGACACACTCAAGCCACACAGTTCCCATTGGCAGAAAGACTTGAGTTAGCGTCCCAGCACTCTAGGCTTCTTACCAAGGAATAGAGTATCAATGCAGATATACCCCAGGTGACAAAGCCTTGTAAAGAGCAATATGGATGAATCAGTAACTGAGGGTCCAGCTGACCCCTCCTCCTATTGGCCGTTGGTGAGTTACCACCTGAAAGGCCTTTAAGGACAGCCAGAGGATAGAGTCAGCAGTGGGTTTGGCAGAAGCAGAGGCCTCCTGTCCCTTATCCCTTTGACCCTGTGTGCAGCACAAGTTTGCCCCACTCAGTCCCAGACAGGGAGCGCTACTCCTTCCTGGCGAGAAGTCACTGCAAAAGGCATCAGAGAATAACACAGACTCCCAGAGGGATGCCATAAGGAGAAAGAGAAAGGGCTGTATATACACCCCATTACTGACAGTTTATAATAACCCACTCAACATTTCTGTTGAGTCCCTTCTCAGTTGTGACGAACTGAGAGCTCTCTTTTTCTGATCTCACTTCTTGTACTGTTCCTGTCCCTCCCACTGTCCCCTGTCCCTCTGTCCCTTGGAGCTTTTCCTTAAATATTGATTGCTTTCCTCATCTTTCATGTGCCATAACTATTTCTCCTAAGACCTTGGCCCAATCAACAGCAGTCAACACTGCACCACTGGAGGCTGGCTTCCCGCTTAGAAAAAGGCTTAGCATGGACACTCTTCAATAGTACTGTCTCTCCCATTATAAATTCAAGTAAATTTTGCTAAAGGAATAAGTTTCTCCTCAAATAGTTACACAGGAAAGACGAATGATATCAGGAGTGTGTGGGACTGTCTAAGTCCCCTTTTCGATCCTTGGACTCCACAGTATCCCCCAGGGCACTCTAGATCACCAACTCCTCCAACCATACGCAGGACCCAAGCTCTTCTCTAACCATTGTCTTTTGAGAGCGGAGGTACCAAAGCCTAGTGTTCTCTGCTCACATCTGTGCACAGGTATCCGGATGCTGGACCAGCCTTTCATGACAGACATCATTGAGGCCTCCTCCATCAGCCACATGCCTCAACTGATTGACATCTACAGTGCCAGCTGGGGCCCTACAGATAATGGAAAGACAGTGGATGGACCCAGAGAGCTGACACTCCAGGCCATGGCTGATGGCGTGAACAAGGTAAAAACATCCCTATGGCCTCAAGGCCCCAGTCCACCCAGTCCAAGGTGGGATATGGTACATGAAGTGATGATGATAATACAGTGGGTGAAGTGGCAGGGCAGAGGCAGAAGTGGAGCTGAAACCCTGTATGTTGGTTTAGGTCCTTTGAGAAATGGACACAGAGCTGGGCTTAGTGGTGCAGGGACTTATGGGAGGGGATGCCTATTGATTATAAAGTGGGATAGAGGGCAGACAGAAGCAGAGAAGGTTCAGACAGGCGTAAGCCTGATCTTGGGGATGGGGAATGAGAAGGAAGGATTGTGGAAAGAGGGTCTCATGCTGAAGTCCCACACTAAGGAAGTTTCAGCCAGACTGTTCTCAGGCTGAAGCCACCCATCCAGGGTAAGAACAGGTCAGCACTGGCACTCTTACTTGCTCAGTGCAGGCTGGCAGCAGCCTATAGGAAATGGGGTCTCAGCCCACACTGGCTGGTGAATCTAGGAGCAGGAGCTGAGAACGAAGTTTCTGTGGTAGGAGGTCTGAGCAATGGATTTCATGGCCATGGATTTCCTGCAATTAGCTCAGCAATGGACATTGCCAAGGAAAGGGGACGAAGGTAGGGCCTCCAACGGGAGGGCAACCGGGAGACACAGACCTTCATGTTAAGTGGAGTGACCCTCCCTCTCTCAGATTTCAGGGCAAGAGTCACCCATACAAGACAAAAATTAGGCTCAGGGATCAGAGCAATCCTGGATCAAGTCCCTGCTCCAAATCCCCTAGTGCCTGAACATCTGTCAAAGAGTGATTTTACCCAGTTGAGCATGCTTTCTTGCCTATAAAAGTCACACATGGAGCCCCTTGTGGGATCCAAGTCCTTGAGAGTATAAGTGATAAATATACATGTTCATGGCACTTAGAAATGCCCAGCAAAGGGTGTCTGTCTCATTCACTGCTGACCCTTACCCATCCACCCTAAAACTTCATGTCATAGCACATGGTCCCTGTAGATGTATAGGTCGTATGGATCAGGAATTCAAACAGGGAATGGTGGGCAGAGCCTCACTTTGCCTAAAGTGCCACAATACTTGTGACTTGAATGTCAGTTCCCAAACTGTGGGTCCTCGAAAGCTGGTTTGAATTGCTGAATTCAAAGTATGATCTCTGGTATGCCTGGGAGTGTAAGAAATGCAGTCTCTCAGCCCCACCCACTGGTGTAGCCAATGTTGATTTTAACAAGATCCCATCGAGGTCTGAGGTGTTGCTGTGGATCTCTCTGGGATCCAGTTGTACAACCCTAAGATACTGAGACCCTAGAATAACACACACACTCACACACACCACACACAATGTAAAGAGCAGTGGCAGCAATTCATGTTCTGGAAGTGATGGTACCATATATTCCCATCAGGGTGATGGGTCAGATGAATGCTTGGTGACCAAGCTCTATGGCCCTGCTTATCTCTGTGTTGAAGGAGCTGAGGCCCAGGTGGCTCAGCTGAAGGAACATCTTATGACGAGGCAGGCGTGATAAGGACAGTGGAGTGATCAGAGAGGTCTTCACTTAGCCTGGGGACATTTGGACCTTCTTGGTCCCTGATGGCTGCAGGATGTGGCCACAGGATGTGTGGATGTGCCACACTAGGGCTCGGCATTCCGGACGCTGGACCGCCCTTACTCTCTCTCTTTCCTCTGGCTTCCTGTCTCCCTCTCTTCAGTCTCTTCTCTTTCTTGAGGCACTTGTTCAGGTCATGGCTCTGCTTGCAAATGCCCCTGAGCACTCTTGCTTGTCACAACCTGCCAGCCTCTGTCTAACTGCTTCTTGTCACTGATACGTCTAGGGAAATCTTGGCCCTAAATTAGGGGCACATCCTCCCCAACTCCAGGCTTTAAAACTAATCTACTTCTGATAGGAAGACTCAGAGCCTGAAGGGCTCAGGGACAGTGAGGTTTCCAAAGCCCTCACTTTTGAAGGATCCCATGGTAGTCATTGTGCTAGCTAGCTTCAGTTGTCAGCTTGACACACTTGGGTAGAGGGAGCCTCAATTGAGGAACTGTCTCCATTGGACTGGCCTCTGGCCATGTATGTGGGCATTTTCCTTATTGTTGAGTAATGTGGGAGGGCCCAGGCCACTGTGGGTGGTGTCACCCCTGGGCAGATCACCCTGTATTATATAAGAAAGCAGGCTGAGCATGGACCCAGGGAGCAAGCCAGTAAGCAGCGTTCCTCCATGGTCTGTACCTCAGCTCCTGCCTCCAGGTTCCTGCAGAGTTCCTACCTTGGCCTCCCTCAGTGATGGACTGTGACCTAGAAGACATAAGAGAAAATAAACCCTCCTCTCCCCCAACCCCAAGTTAGTTTTGGTCAGTGTAATAGAAAGTAACTAGAACACTCATGAATATTGTCTTTTCCACCCTCTGACAGAGGAATTTATACTGTTGAATTCTTTCAGAGGTCTGAACAAAAATATAAAAACTGTCTGTTTCCCTTGTTAACAGAGTTGAACTGTGTTCCCAAATCTTCCTGTTGAAGTCTTAACTTGCAGGGGTGCAGAATGGAACACTATTTGGAAATAGGGTCATTACCGATGTAATTAGTTAAGATAAGGACATAGTGGAGTGGGATGGGCCCCTAAGCCAGTACGATAAGGATAAAAAGCTTTAGTTACTAATGAAAAGAGGAGATTTGCCCATGGACATGCATGCGGAGAAAATGTTGCATGAAGATGGAGGTCCAGTGGCCCCTAGGCAAGCCAACTAACAATGCCAAAGACACCCAGACATCCCCAGAGGCTAGGGGAGAGGTATGGAACATCTTCCTCCAAGGCCTAAGAAGGAAGCAGCCCAGCTGATGCTTCAGTCAGAGAAATTTGGCTTCCAGAGCAGCAAGGCAATTCACTTCTATTGTTTAGAGTACTCAGTTTGAGGTGCTTCATTACACAGTCCTAGAAAACTAATACACCCTTCAGATCTTAGAACAGGCAACCAGAGAGGTGACTTGGCCAGACTCTATAACAGTGTGGAAGAATGTGTTCATTATTCAAGGTCACCTTGATGAAAGCCAGGTGATTGATCACTGATCCAATGGCAGGGATATTTTCCCCTTCTCTTTTGCAAACCCAGGAGACTGCCTTCCTTCATTTTTAGCATAGTTACCTCAAACAAGTAAACATGCGAAACCCTCGTAATTTAGTCTTAATGACAGAAATGTTCCTGTGATGGCCAGTGCCATGCTGGAAGTGGCTCCTGATGACAGAACACTGGTAGCTTGAAGTCAAACGTGCTAGTTGTAAAGCATTTACCAGCACAGCCCTGGCTCCCCTTCAACCATTGCATGTCCTACAAGTAGACGACAGCTGTGTTGGATAGCTTTTAGTTGTCAGCTTGACACACCTCAGCTGGTAGAGAGAACGTCAATCGGTGAATTGCCTCCATTGGACTGGCCTATGGCCATGTCTGTAGGGCATCTTCTTGATTTCTGAGTCATGTAGGAGGGCCCAGCCCACTGTGGGTGGTGCCGCCCTGGGTAGGTGGGCCTATATTGTATAAGAAAGCACATTGAGCAGAGACCAGAGGAACAAGCCAGTAAGCAGCATTCTCCCATGGCCTGTGTTTCAGGGTTCCTGCCCTGAGTTCCTACCTTGGGCTCCCTTGATGATGAACTGTGACCCAGGAGATGTAAGCGAATAAACCCTTTTCTCCCCAAGTTGGTATTGCTCAGTGTATTTTGTCACTGCAATGGAGAAACAAACTAAAACAATAGCTTTGCCTTATTGAGGCTGGGAATTCTCTTTGAGAAGGGGAAAACGGAGGAAAAGCACCCAAAATCCTGAATCATATGTTTTTTCAAAGTGTCAAGTTTCCCAGCATCACAAAACTGAGACTGTGAAGGACAGTTTTGCTGAGTAAGTCAAGACCTTGCCAGTAGAAGAGTTGTCACCCTTACATTCAATACAAGGTCCAAGGAACAGAGTCCTGGAAGTGAATAGCTTCCTGAGTCACTAAACATCACTGCCTACACTTAAACTGGGCCTGTTGGAGGACTAGAAAAGTGGTATTCCAAGATGGTGACGATCTGCTGTTGAAATTGGTCCTGTCTGAATTAGCAGGGAGAACCCTGACAGAATGGCACAAAGCACAGAGGAGCTCTCCCAATGAGCTCTGACGGCAGGAGGCCATGTCACCGCCTTTCCAATGCTGCACTCCTTAAGGAATTTTTAGGATGGAACTAGACGCATCAGCAGCTTGTTTTCTTAGCACATGATTCATCACACATATCCAGCCCAAGGCCAGATGACAGCAGGAGCCCAGGGGAATACTTGGCAAGTGCCTCCTTTCTCCAGCAAACATAGTATGCTTTTGTCACCTAAAGCCCTCTGTCCAAATTTGCAATGCAGATGGTGATTGAAGCAGAGCCTCCCTGGGTGGCTCCTGTCATCTGCCAGGGCCTCTGAGCCTCCCCATCACATCACAGAGCTGGTACTTCTCTCACCGCATCTGTAACCTCCCTGACTGCAGCTAAAAAGGCCTTTCCAAGTGTGATTGTTCTACAAAATATGCCAAGCACACTGAAACATAAGAGAAAAATTGTTATGACTTGTCTGTGGTGACAGCATGTAAATATTTTAGAGAGGAAAGTGGGTGTGGTGAAAAGCCATGACTTCTCTGACTTTTCCCCAAGCTGTAGAGAGGAATCTTTCCTTGTTTCAAGGTGACACTTTTTGGACAGAATTGTAAATTTTTATGATAGTGTCCTGTAAGGTAGCAAAGAGCTCCACCATTGTTTTGGTCATCTAATCTACTCTCTAAAGAAAAGTCCATCTAGACGAGATGTTGCCTACCTGCATACAGGAGTCTAGCAATCACCTACCACACAGAGCCAGTTCTTGTGTTTGTCTTTGAATATTAACACTCTGCATGTAGGTTTGTTTCACCAATATAATAACCATAAAATGAGGAGGAAAGAGATGTGGGTAAGAGACTTTTACCAGTTTGCAATAGACTTCACCATTTCTGAGTAC